TGTCAGCAACTTTTCCAGAAAAGATGTCGCCATGATCCGTCTGTAATAGGATTCTATTCCAAAACTACACCGGAATACAATCGTATTGAAGATCATTGTCATTAAAATTCAATAGAGACTTTCAGTTTTCTTATTCGATTTCAGTTTTCTTATTTTAAAAAGATTTAAAGCCAAATCAGGCTAAATAAAGCGAATTTCTGGCCTTGCTTGACCATTGCTCGATTTGAAAAGTCTCTGAACCCCTCTCTGAACGCCTAAAAGCCCATATTTCATATTAATATAAAAATCCTCAAAAAAAGGAATCTCATTACTATTATAAACCTATAAGCTTTTCAGCTTTTCTGTGAAAAAATCGAGACAGCCACGTATGACATGGAAACATCGGCTTTAAAAATGGATGACGTGGAAAAGCTTTTCGCTGAACTTGAAACAAAAAAAGTGAAACCAAAAACCGGAGATATTCAGGTAAAAAAAGGCTTTCTTTACAACTAATCAACAATGCTATCAACAATTAGTTGGACGAATTCGTTTACGATTCGATTTTTGTGCTCCGATTGCAGTTGGCGGAAATTGCAAGAGTGGCCTCGTTGTCGGAGGCGTTTAAAAACAACTTTTCTGGTGAGTTTAGAAACGAAAACGTAATCGATTTCTATAGGGTTGTTCAGGATTAGAGAGACTAAAGAACTTGAGAATTTAAAGACAACCAGACAACCAGAACCAAGCTTTCAAGCGTAGCTGATCTCGATTCTTCTTGATATTAGCCTTGGTGACAACGGTCGCTTTACCGTTGACAACACTCGCTTTACCGTTGACAACAGCCGCTTTACCTTTGACTCATTCCAAGACGATTTTTGATAATACGGCTCGTAGAAGTTCGAGAAATTCCCATATTCTTTGCCTTCCTGGCCAGCGAACGAGTGGCTTTCAAGCGTAGCTGATCTGATCTGAGCTGAACCTTCTTGATATTAGCCTTGGTGACAATGGACCACGTCCGGAACGATCAGAATTTCTTCCTAACACTTGAAAGCGTTTGATCGCTTGATCGTTTGATCGTTTGATTGTAAACAAGTTGTTTGCGTATCATCAATCGCTTAGAGATGTCCATTGCGAGATTGCCGTAGGTCGATGATCGCAATTCGGTATATTGACTTCTTAGCCATTCTAAAAAGAGATTTTTTGAGAAAAAATAGTGAGTAAATAGTTAAATAAATAAAATAAACTAAAAGAAAGAAAAAAAGTTTATAAATTGTAAGCAAAAATATGTATTATCACAGGATTTAGTTCCTATCTGGTTACTTTATAGTTTCTATCTGGTTACTTTATAGTTCCTATTTAGTTCCTATTTAGTTCCTATTTAGTTCCTATTTAGTTCTTTTATAGTTCGTAATCCTGAACAATCCTGAACAATCATTACTAAATTCAGAAAATTCCACTACTTTTCGCTTCTTTTAGCGTCACTTCGTAAACGGGTCAACCACGAGACATTGATTGGTTTGCTGGGGGACAGTGATGAGGATGGATCGACGTCTGATGGAGAGACAACATTGGTGAGTTGAGGGAACAATTCGCACAACAATTCGCACAACAATTCACAGCTTCTACAATCAGCAGCAGTTTTAGTTTCAGAGAATTGATGCATTTTGTATTAAATTATTGTAAAAATAGGTTAAACAACGTTTTCAGAGAGTTGCCGGTGAAATGGGCTCCTCTTCGAATACAACAGTGGCAATGATGTGCACTCCGAATGGAACTCTTTCAATCCCACTCAAAATGCCCCCAATCACTCATCATTTATCACACGAAACAGGGTCACCGAGTGGAAAGGTTTAGATTTAAATGCCAATAGAAATTAGCTCAGAATTTCTCTCTTTCTCTTGATTTTTCAATAAACTTTTCAGCGTCGCTGTTTCGACTTTGTTTCTCTTGACACTGCGGATGAAATTTGATCATTACAGATATTTATAAATCATTTTTTTTGCTTTTAATATATATACTTTATTCAGTTGAATAGCGACAAAATAAGATCACAATAATCACCCAGGACACCACTCAAAGCACACCCAAATAGATAAAAAGATATCTCAAGAAAGAATCACAAAGCAGTCAAATCAATTGCCGAGATTGCGGCTTTAAATCTGGCCAAGGTGGGAATATCACGAAGATGACGGGGTTAAAGGTTTCACAATTTAATAACTCGATTAAAAAAGATGGGAGCTCTTAGAGGAAACGGAAAGTTAAGTTATGAGAAAAGGCTCCCTTCTGGAGGTGAATTCAAAGAGAGATTAGAGAGCCGAATTCAAAGAGATCAGAAAAAAGTGGATCGGGATGAATGCCTTGAACAATTTTAAAGCATACCATTTTAAAGCATTCCACTAAGCACTAAGCATTCCACTAAGCACTAAGCATTCCACTAAGCATTCCACCGCTAAGAGAAAAGGCTCCCTTCTGGAGGCGCGATAATGGAAATGATTTGTTCTGAATGGTCACATTTATGACTCACTGGGGATAAGAAAATGGAAATATGCAATCCTGCGCAATGATGGACATGATTTGTTGATCCCTTAGAGAGCCGAATTCAAAGAGATCAGAAAAATGGGGATCGGTATGAATGCCTTTAACAGTTAAAGCATTTCACTAAATCGGCGGCGTTGGTGTAACGTTTCAATAACGATAAGGCGGCGTTGGTGTAACGTTTCAAGACCAAAGAGTTGCAAACAGAAAGATAGAAAATGATAGACCAATTCAGAGGTAAATAGTCGTTTCAGCTTTTAGAATTTGTGACTTATCTAAAGGAATTTTAGAAAATATAAAATTGTTATTAAAAGTTAAGCATCATTGGACAAAAGTTACATCGTCACAGCTTGAAGAGATGTGCAAATCTTAGAGAAAGAAAAGATCAATGGGCAAAAGAATGCTTGAGAAAGCTAAAAGCTTTTAATAGAAAGATAGAAAATGATAGTATAGATTTATTCAAAATGAATAATGTGACAAAAACAAATACAAAACTCCCTACCCTGAATACTCTTAAAGATGTATACGGAAAAAGAGCGAAATTTTCTAGACCCAGTCACTAGAATCGACCCAGTCACTAGAATCGAGCCCGTGTCCTAGATTAGACCCAGTCACTAGAGTCGACCCAGTCACTAGAATCGACCCAGTCACTAGAATCGACCCAGTCACTAGAATCGACCCAGTCACTAGAATCGACCCAGTCACTAGAATCGAGCCCGTGTCCTAGATTAGACCCAGTCACTAGAATCGACCCAGTCACTAGAATCGACCCAGTCACTAGAATCGACCCAGTCACTAGAATCGAGCCCGTGTCCTAGATTAGACCCAGTCACTAGAATCGACCCAGTCACTAGAATCGACCCAGTCACTAGAGTCGACCCAGTCACTAGAGTCGACCCAGTCACTAGAATCGACCCAGTCACTAGAATCGACCCAGTCACTAGAATCGAGCCCGTGTCCTAGATTAGACCCAGTCACTAGAGTCGACCCAGTCACTAGAATCGAACCGGTGTCCTAGATTAGACCCAGATACAAGACTCCTAACCACTCGGTCATGACGGCACAAAATCACAATTGGACAAAAAGTTGTATCTACAGTCACCCAGTCACCCAGTCACCCAGTCACCCAGTCACCCAGTCACCCAGTCACCCAGTCACCCAGTCACTATAGTTCCAGTCCATCAGCGCCTCCCTTCTGGAGGCGCGATGATCTTTCTTACACATTTCAGGCTACAAAACTGTCTAAAGAGTTTTTTGAAAAAATTCAAGGAACTCGAGATTGCTAGATTTTATAAAATTTCGCTAAAACGAGTTTTTAGGCATCAATAATAGTGCAATTCTTTTCCAAAGCTGCTCAGCTTTCAAGTTTTCCCCTTTTCCTGGAAAATTAAAGAACGCATCCGATCTCTTTCATCAAAAACATTAAGAATTTCATTAAAAACATCAAAAATGTAAATTACATGTTTAAAGAAGTAAAAGTTATGTAAATTTTACATGGAAAACACAAAACCCGAAATATTCTAATATTCTCTATCTCTAATCTTTATCTTTAATGTTAAGCTTTCAATTGAATCCTTGAAAGATCTTCTTGAAAGATCCTTCTTCATCTTCTTCTTCTTCATCTTCTTCTTCTTCATCTTCTTCTTCTTCAATCCATCTTCATCTTCTTCTTCTTCAATCCATCTTCATCTTCTTCTTCAATCCTTCTTCATCTTCTTCTTCTTCAATCCTTCTTCAAAACCCCAGTGTTATTTTTGAAGTGTCATTCAAAGGCATTTTCCCAGTCGATCTGAAGAGAGGTTATTGAAAAGAAGAAAAGAAGAAAAGAAGAAAAAAGAAAAAAGAAAAAGAAAAAGAAAAAGAAAAAGAAAAAGAAAAAGACGAGGTTCTGAAAGGATTTTGACCGTTTTTGTAGAGATCAAAGAGGATTTCAATTGGATCTTTCTATAGAAAATTCTATAGAAAATTCTATAGAAATCTCAGTCAAAAAAAAGTCAAAAAAACTCGTCCAACTGTGGCAATTGAGCTTGAGAAAACTAGTTAGATCTAAAAGGCACATATTTTAAAATGCAATCGTAACCCAAACGCGAGTTTAGATTCGTTTTGATCTGATTGATTGGCTTGTGTTTGATTAAATGATACCAAATTAGGTTAATTGAATAGAAACTTGCAAAATTGCAAGGAAAATAGCAAATAGCAAATAGCAAATAGCAAAATTACAAGGAAAATAGCTCCATTTCACTCTTTTCAATTTGAATTGATGATTATTATGATAGTTTTCGATGATAGATGCTTTTTAGAAAGCGTTTTAGCCTAGAGAAATGAATTTCTTGTGAATTTCTTGTGAATTTAATCGCTCCATTTCACTCTTTTCGATTTAAATCGATGATTTTGATTCGATTTTGATGCTATTTTGATTTTTGATTGTACCATTTTCTTATTTCTGCGTTTTAATGATGTCTTCAAAGTTATATTCGTGTTTTTTAGCAATGCTTCTACTTAGCTTCAGTCTTTTCTTCTTGCTTGTTGCTTTATTCGAAGCCGATCCAAAGTAAGTACATGCAATGAAACCGAGCCTAAGATAGGTAAGTCTCGTAGGTAAGTCGGCACTCGTATATTTTTTGAAATTAGCTCATTTGGTTCAGTAGAAAATTTTTTTTGAGCCCCCAAAGTTTAGGTTCAAAAATGCCCTAAAATGGCTATGAAAAATTTCTTTTAGCTAAAAAATCTTCCTAGTAGCTCATTTTGTAGCCAATTTAATGTAGATTCTTAAAGTAAAGCTACATTGAACATTTGTTTTTCAAAGCTAGGAGAAAGAGGGCGAGGAACGACTTCAGTTGAACTCGGTCGCTGTTTTCACATTTGAGAATTGCCCTGAATTTGTTCCTCGCCCTCTTTCTCCTACTTTCAACGAAAAATTGTTTTAGATGGCTTTACTTTAAGAAACTACATAAAATTGGCTACAAAATGAGCTATTAGGCAAGTTTTTTGGCTAAGTAGAAAATTTTTATAGCCATTTTTGAACCTAAACTTTGGGGGCTCAAAAAAAATTTTCTACTGAACCAAATGAGCTAATTTCAAAAATTTATTATAAAATTTATGTATTATGAACATTTTTTATATGGGTGACTTTTTGATTGGATGCCGGGGAATACCCTCATTCGTTAGCGGCTGAATTTCGTAAGCGGCTACGACATATATACCGTATTTCTTCGAATAGAAGACCGGGTAAAGAGTATCATCGCGTGCTCCTGCGTAGCAGCCCTTTTCAAAAATTTCTTTTCTGCATAAAAGCTTTCAATGAAGTGCTATAGAGCTGGAAAATGGCTCAAAAATCTGTTAGCTCATGTGGTATTTTTGATTTCATTTTCCAGCCCTATAGCACTTCATTGAAAGCTTTTATGCAGAAAAGAAATTTTAAAAATGGCTGCTACGCAGGATACGCGTACGCGATGATACTCTTTACCCGGTCTTCTATTCGAAGAAATACGGTATATGCAATGAAACTGAGCTAAAGATCAGTCCATCTGATTTTGTTTTTAAATGTAACAACACTTATTTTAGAGTATGCACTGCTCTTTACAAGGTGATAGATGAAAATTGTCCGGCAAACGCTGTAATTCAAGAGATTCTAAACGACGAGAGGCCGGAGCCAACGAAACGAGAGTCGAATTGGGGAATTGTTGACACAGAGTGAGAATTAGAGTTAAATAGGAAGAGTTTATTTGAAAATGAAAATCTAACTGTATAAAGTTTGATAGTATTCGGTTAATAACTTTATTTAGCCAAATTTTCAATCTGTTTGAGCGATTTCATGAAAAGCCAATGAATCTTAGAAAAAACAAGCTTTTACACCCGAATTTTCTTACAAAAAGTAGATGATACAAAAAGACCGATACAGAACGATGACGGTGCGGGGATTGAACCCGTGCAAAGACCTACTGGTTCACCTCTGACGCAAGCGCACTAACCACTAGGCCACCGAGGTAGTTGGAAAGGCCGTGTGAAAAAGGTTCTTATTGCGATGAGTGCAAGCTACGAGAGCTGTCATCAAAGGAAAAGTTGAATAACTTTTTTTGCTTGAGGCTTTAGAAATTTCTGATTACAGATTCGGAATCAGCGTGTAATTTTGCATCAGAAACACTCTGTTTCTAGCCAAAAATCTCGGGGGTCTGCTGGGGTTCTTTTGTCTGATGATTGGATCGGAAAAAAAAGTCTTTATTGAATTGAATCCGATCTAATTTTGACAGAATTTCGATGAAATAGAAAGTAAGTTCGATGAAATAGCAAGTAAGTAACAAACGGATGCGCGTGTCCACCTGAAACGGTGACAATCCCGCCTGTGATTGTTGGAATTGTCGGCTCTTGTAGCGAACATATCCAGATATTTCTTCCCGTCCGCGTCATACAAAAACTGGCGCTCGCCTCGAGTTTCCCAACGAATTCAGCGAATTTGCCGAAAAAAAGAGAAAATTTGCTGAAAAAAAGCTACAAGAGCCGACAATTCCAACAATCACAATTGAACATTTTCAACAACAACAATCACATTCAATTGAACATTTTCAAGAAGCCAAAAAAAACTGCTAGACTTTTAGAATGATTCGCAGAAAACTAAATTCACACCAAGCACATTAAATCTAAATCTTTATATGATAAATACATTGAAATCAAAAGCTCATTTAGCCGCTTGTTGATCAGCCGTAGTCAAGCCTTTGAGGTGGGCACAGGACTTGGGAATCGACTCTTTGCTGTCATGTCGACATTCGGAATTGCCAACAAGTTGAATAGGTAAATCAATTGTAAACTTTATCATGATAATAAAGATCGATTTTCATCATAAAATGAATCTAGACAAGCGATTTTTCCGGCTCGTCACGAACTGTGCACTTGGCATTGCATTGAGGCACTTTGGGAGATCTCGACTCTTTTCCCTGGTCTCATCCCAGAAAAAGCTATCGATGTTTCGGCTCGGCACACGGTAATACTCTTTGGACTTTGGCTTTGGCTATTTGGAAGATTATTTTAATATTAAAGCCAAATGAAATTTCTTCAGACTAGATCTAACAAGGGAAAGGCACGAATTCAAGGTGAACTTTTGTCTGGACACTGAACTTTATAGAATCGGGTATGATGAATCATTGAAATCAGAATTTGAAATCAAAATCTGCCAAACGATTTTCCAGGCGTGTCACACTTGGCGTTAAAAAGGAAGAAAAGCAAACAAAAAAAGCTGCATAAGCGACCGAACCCTGATCCCGTGGGCGGAAGGTTGCCCATTAGGTCCCATAAGTGGTTGCCCATTAGGCCACCAACGTATCGAGAAAGAAAGCAGAACGATGGCGGCAGGGGGATTGAACCCGTGCAAAGAGCTAGTGGTTCGCCTTTGACACAGGCGCGCTAACCACTAGGCCACTGAGGTAGTCGGAAAGGATCCTTTAACACCAACGTCCGGCTCCTCTTAGGAAGGAGCCTTTTAAAGCATTTTTTCCTAGCACAAACCAGGTGCGTTGGTGGCGTAGTGGATAACGGCCTGGTCTTTCGTTCGCGCAGTCCGAGTTCGGTCCCCACTGGAGCCCTTTGTTTTTATTTTTCTGCCGTTTTGAGGTCAAATTTTCGATTGAAATTTTACACGTTTGAAAAGTTATTTGGCAGATTTTGATTTCAGACTCGGATTTGACCCGATTCTATAAACGGACAAAAGCTCACCTTCGGTTCGTGCCTTTTCCTAGTAAGACTAAAGCAGGTAAAACTAGAGTCAGAGGCCGGGTCTCATAGTAAGGTCAGCTTATTGTTATCTTTGCTGCAAGTCTGACCCACAAATCGTATCTAGGTCTGCCACAGTAGCCACCTCTGAACCAAGAGCCCAACAAGTTAAAGACAAGTTAAAGACAAGTTAAAGACAAGTTAAAGACAAGTTAAAGTTAATTCAACCGAACAAGTTCAATCCGTTTTCAGAAAAACCTCTACGATGAACTCGTGATCAATGAGTGTTGTCTTTATATTGACCCATTCAAAAGACACTTTCCAATTCAACAACAGCAACAAACTCTTCGTTTTTATGGCTCCTTCATTCAAGTAGGGATTGAGTGATAAAGCAAATGATTCCAGAGCTACAAATACTCGATTCCAGAGCTACAAATACTTTATCGACTATCAAGACGAATATGAGCCAATTTTGAAATCCGGATTGAAAGCTTTTGCGAAACTTTCAGCGTCAATGGCGCCAATTGAAGTGATTGATCCGGGAGCGACAAGGTGAATGAGTGCTTTGAATTGACCAAATATGCAAATGTCTTTCAATTGTTTGATTTGATTCAAGATTTGATTTGTTTCAATTCAAATTCAGTTACGGCTTAAACAAAGTTTCCTTTGAAGTGCTTATGTTCAACTAAAAAGTGGCGTATTCAACGTTTTGAACTTGCATAGACTTTTAAGATTGCTTTAACTATTGGATCTTCTAGAATCTTCTAGAATCTGTCTTCACACTCGTCGTGGCGGCTTTACAGGAGACTTTCATCAGGCCTCAAATCCAACTTTTCTTCGCAACACAATTCAACATTTTTCGAAACCGAAAAATCGTCGAAATGGTATCAAGAAACGACAAATAAAAGAATTCAATGTGGTCAAAAAATCCCTTTTTCAAACATTCTTTGATCTCTCGCATGGCAGAAAGAAAAGAGAAAGCAATGACGATGGTAAGCTTATGAAAAACCAGTTGAAAAACCCGGACAAACGGACGGACATTGCTCTTTTATATACTATTGGGTTGGTGAATTCAAAACTGCCGGACTTTGAACTAAAATTTATTCAACATAAAGCCATCAATTCATTCGAAATAATTTCCATTATTATTGACGACTTCTGCCCATTTTACAGGCAATTTGCGGATTCCTCTTTCGTAGTAGGATTTTGGTTTGTGTGTGAGACAAGTGTGAGACTCAAAAATGGAGGACTGGAGATGGAGACTGGAGATGTCCCAGTTTGAGCACTTTCTTCAAAAGAAACCCATTTTGGTGTCAATAGAAAAGTTGTAGAGAATCAAAAATGAGGCTTATATCCAAATTTTCAGAACGATTCAAAAACTGGTTTTCAAGAAACGCCCAAATTTACGAATTTTCACGAATGAAATGACGGAAAAGGAGGGGGAGGGGGGTTACGGTATCTGTCTGTCTTTCTGTCTGTCTTTCTGTCTGCCTTACTGTACGGGCATTTTTCCAGCCGTATTTTGACCTATATTTCATTTTTCATTTTGGTTTTCAAGTTTGAGCACTTTCTTCAAAAGAAACCCATTTTGGTGTCAATGGAAAAGTTGTAGAGAATCAAAAATCAAGCTTATATCCAAATTTTCAGAACGATTCAAAAACTGGTTTTCAAGAAATGCCAAATTTACGAATTTTCACAAAACTTGCATTTTAAGCGAAACTACTAAGTGTATCTTTTTGGAAATTTGGCTATAAGCCTCATTTTTGATTCTCTACAACTTTTCTATTGACACCAAAATGGGTTTCTTTTGAAGAAAGTGCTCAAACTGTCACATATGACAATAGCCCGCAGTTTTCAATTCACCAATCTAATACAGGGTGCGGCATAAGTATGGTTACAAGGTTGTAACGTTGATTTAAGAAACTGATTGATTTTTATGTCTTGCCAAAGGATTATTTTCACCCTGAAGGCTCTGAAGGCTTTCACCCAGGCTCTGAAGAAAGCCTGGACGAAAATTCCACAAAGTACCCTGCGGGCCGCCGTGGAAAGTTATCCAAAGCGTCTTAAAGCCCTTATCAAGAATAAAGGTGCCCATATTGAATAATTTGTTATTTTTTAAACGAATATGATTACTGTTGTTAATTTTAAATAAAGTTAACATGAATCCGTTCATATCTCATTACGATACACGGTTCTGAGTCTGTAACCATACTTATGCCGCACCCTGTAGACAATTGATAGACAAAATCTAAACAAAATCAAAATTTAACTCAATATTTTAACTCAATACCAATATGGTTCCAAGTTGGTTCCGATATGGTTTCGATATGGTTCTAATCAGTTCCAATATGGTTCCAATCAGTTCCAATATGGTACCAATATGGTTCCAAGATGGTTCCAATATGGTTCCAAGTTGGTTCCAATATGGTACCAATATTGTTCCAAGATGGTTCCAATATGGTACCAATATTGTTCCAAGATGGTTCCGATATGGTTCCAAGTTGGTTCCAATATGGTTCCAAGTTGGTTCCAATATGGTTCCAAGTTGGTTCCAATATGGTTCCAAGTTGGTTCCAATATGGTTCCAAGTTGGTTCCAATATGGTTCCAATATGGTTCCAATATGGTTCCAATATGGTTCCAATATGGTTCCAATATTCAGAATCAAAGCCTAAACGAGAAACCGAATTTTTCAGTTCAATTTCTCCTATTCGGCGATGATGTGGATTGGTTGCGCTCAATTGAGGCTGAAATGAAGATTTTAAATCCAAATCTTCATATAGTTGATCAAAAAGGATCGCCACCGGTCGCTACATGGCATTTCTTTTCACAATATTGTGACAAAGTTGTGATCACAGGTGAGACACAAGTTTATGATGGGAAAATCAACTTCTTTTCACTTTCTAAAGTTTCCATTTCAAGCTTCTTCGTCAACTTTTGGCTGGTGGGCGGCTTACTTTTCACAATTGGGGCGGCCGAATGTTGAGGTAAACATAAATCGACACTTTTTTGATATATCAACTTCTTTCTTGTGTTTTTCAAATGTCAAGAAAGTATCAAATCGTGTTTTAAAAAGAAATAATGATATTTGAAAAGTGTTATCATTGAGAACTACAGTGCGTAACAAAATGATAGATCCACCATGTTTTTCGCCCCAGGAACTAGACATTTTGAATAAAAATTCAAGTTTTGACCAAAAACAAGGTCAAAATTTAGTTTTAAATCAATTTGCATCAAATTGTTATTTCATTTTTGACCGAGTTACAGCGTTTTAAATTGCAGGAGATGGTCAAAAATGTTCGGGCCACCCCACATGTGGTTTGGACGCCTTCTGACCGATGTTTAGCCCACTCGAACAAATTTTCGTCAAGAATTTTTGATTCAACGTTGTAGAAAAGTATTTAAGGATCATTATGGTACCACATGTGGGGTGGTCCGAACATTTTTGACCGAGTTACAAGCGCGTGAAGCCAGCATATCAGAAAGTAACCTTTTTAACACAGTACAAGGTTAAATTTTTGTCTCCTGAAATTTCAAACGCTGTAACTCGGTCAAAAATGAAATAACAGTTTGATGCAAATTGATTTAAAACTAAATTTTGAACTTGTTTTTGGTCAAAACTTGAATTTTTATTCAAAATGTCTAGTTTCTGGGGCGAAAAACATGGTGGATCTATCATTTTGTTACGCACTGTATGTGTTGGATCAAGCACAAGAGTTGTGCAAAGATGATAAAGATGTTATTATTTTTTTTAAGAAGATTCAAAGATTTTGCTTTATTTCTAAAAGAAACTGGTTCCATTTAGGTCTACTACAATAAGAGATTCGCCAAAAGCGCCGCCTATTTAACCCAGCAGAAAGATGAAGATTTCTTTTTGCCCAATTGGATACCCCTTGATTTGGAGAATGGAAATGATAAACGAAAATAAAATTTGACCTTGAACCGTAATCACGAGTTTCACATTAAAAAAAACTGTTTATTCATATTGGCTGGTAAAAAATGAAATTGTTCCATTTCTTCTATTAGGTACATGCATAAGAAATGCGGATTTCAACATTTTCAACAATTTTCATAAATTTCCAACGATACAAAGCTGATGTTATAAACCAGAATCGATGAATGTTATAAACGATTTAAAAGTTGTAAATCTCCTCTACAAGATAGGCTAAAGCGTGTTTCAATTGATCGAATCATTGAAGAGATTTCGAGAGCGAAATGCGAGTGACCAAAAAAGGTATCGAGTCACTTTAGGGACAAGTTTAGTCTGGTCATAATAGAGTTAGTTTCCCAAAAATTGAAGATTTAAAGAAAAAAAGGATAACTATTTATCAATTTGTTAAAAAAGTCTAACGGAAATGCATTTACAGAAATTTAGATAGAGCGTAAGTTCAAAACCCTCAAATTTCTCAAAAAAATCGACTTTTTCACAAAAAAAAGAAAAATGATTGTAAAAACAAAGTTTTCCCATGAAATGATCCCAACTCTTAATTATTTTGAATAATATTTGAATGATTTTGAATGAAGGGCGCTCATTTTCCACTATATAGTCAAAACCGAACTATTTTGACGACACTAAACTTGTCCCTAAAGCGACTCGATTTCCTTTTTTGGTCACTCGCATTTCGCCCTCGAAATTTCTTCAATGCTTCGATCAATTGAGACACGTTTTAGCCTATTTTGTAGACGAGATTTACAACTTTCAAATAGTTTATAACATTCATCGATATCTGGAAATCTTCTAATCGATATCTTCTATCGTTGGAAATTGATGAAAATGTTGAAATCCGCATTTCTTATGCATTTACCTAATAGAATCAATACTTACTTACGCTCAGAGTTGGTGCACTTATTGGAAATAGCTTCGTTTCATTTGACAAATCCACCCGAGAGAGAGCAGTGGTGGTGTAGAGAATAGCCTGCCGGACTACAGAACCCATGCCGAAAATTTTCCGCTTTAAAAGCGTTGTTTGTAATTACGCGTTAGGTGGGGGTGGGGTACTATTAGAGGGGCGCGGTCCAATTACAGTATTTACGGTAATATTTATTCCTTTTTAGCTAGTTTACAATGAAATTTGTATTGCAATTTATATCTTTTCAACGAAAAAGCTGTACAAAGCTTTTATTCAACTTCTGCATTTATTTATTTTAGTCTTGAGTACGGAAATTCAGAAAGTAACGGTTCAAATGATCTTTGTAATGATGGAAAGTGTGATTTCTTTCTTTTTCTTTCTTTTTCTTTCTTTTTCTTTTTAAAGAAACCCATTTTATTGTGTTTATTTTGAAAAAAAGTATAATTTTATTTGTTTAACACAAGCGGAATCTGACACAGAAAATTGGTCAAATAAAAGCATTCTCCACTGTACCAATTGTTGTTATTTGGATCCAAATAGGCACAATCCTCATCTCCGTCTTTGTTTGATGGCTCTCCTAAGTGTTTTGCCTTACATTACAATCGAAAAAGAGAGCATACAAGCCTGTTCTAGTTGATTTTAAATTTTGTTCTAGCTTGGTCTAGAAAAGTTGATGCTTTGTTTGCCTTGATTGCCTTGATTTGAGTGTCTTGATTCAGTTAGATCAGCAAATGGTCATACTAAACTAATAAGCCAAGAAACTAGCCAAGAAACTAGCCAAGGAACTAGCCAGGAACTAGCCAGGAACTAGCCAGGAACTAGCCAAGGAACTAGCCAAGGAACTAGCCAGGAACTAGCCAGGAACTAGCCAGGAACTAGCCAAGAAACTACCTAAGAAACTACCTAAGAAACTACCCAAGAAACCAGCCAAGGAACTAGCCAAGGAACTAGCCAGGAACTAGCCAGGAACTAGCCAGGAACTAGCCAGGAACTAGCCAAGGAACTAGCCAAGAAACTACCCAAGAAACTACCTAAGAAACTACCCAAGAAACTAGCCAAGGAACTAGCCAAGGAACTAGCCAGGAACTAGCCAGGAACTAGCCAGGAACTAGCCAGGAACTAGCCAAGGAACTAGCCAAGAAACTACCTAAGAAACTACCTAAGAAACTACCCAAGAAACTAGCCAAGGAACTAGCCAAGGAACTAGCCAGGAACTAGCCAGGAACTAGCCAGGAACTAGCCAGGAACTAGCCAAGGAACTAGCCAAGAAACTACCTAAGAAACTACCCAAGAAACTACCCAAGAAACTAGCCAAGGAACTAGCCAAGGAACTAGCCAAGGAACTAGCCAAGGAACCTATTTTTGATAGAAACATCTCTATTTGAAAGCGTTTGACTGCTCACCAGGTGCCCATCTCTGGTAATCGAACGCCGATCCATCAACCCATTCCCAAACGGTTCCATTTTGCTTCAATCCAATCATTACTCGATATGATCCCATTTCTGGAATGAGTTTTGAAGATATAAAGCTATACACCGAGGGCCCTAGATGCTGTTTATTCTGCACGATAACCACAATTCGACACACACACAATACTAGGCTATATTTTACGAGAAAATTCATTTATTTCATGTTTACTTGTTAGATTTATTGCTAGAATTGATAAAAATTAATTGGCAAAATGAATTTGAATCCCGAAAACTTTTGAATTTTCTTTATGGATTGGCAGACACCTAAATTAAATCATAAATAACAAATAAAATTAACAAAACAAACAGAAAACAAACAACAAAACAAAACAAACAAAAATAAAATATGTACAAAGGGATAATTTAAACTCTTAATATAAACATACATCAAAAATTTGCGGCAACTTTTGTCGCAGCGGTGACAGCCAGATTTCTAGTCTTGTACCAGAAGTACGAGTCTCAGTGCTCTCGATAAATTTCTGAGCTGACCAACGAATGCGACCATACTTTTGGCATGAGCATCTTGTTGTGACAGTAAAATTTGTGCCGTTTCCCGTCCGGTGGACGGGAAACGAATGTTTCTTCCTTTTCCACCAGCTTTTCCACAAGGTACCCGACCACAAAGGTGACAATGTTGAAGAAGCAATTCCAGCTGTTCAAATTCTACCAGAAGATACCAGAAGATTGAGCCTTGAGATTGAGCTTAACTTCCTCCTCATCCAACATTGTTTAACCGCAAAAACTTTTAAGACACATTTAAAGGCACCAAAAAACTAAAAGAAAATACAAAGTCCAGAAAAAAAGGCCCTAAAAAGCCCTACGTGGTTGGCCGTGCGAAATGTGAATAAGCTTTGAACATAAAATAATTTGCGGCCATCGCCCAGCGCTCGCCGCCATGTACAAAGTACACCACCAGCCAGGAATTCAGTCTCTGGAGCAAAATAGGAAAACCTACGCTTCAAGGCAGTCATCCCAATAAAATTATTATAGAATGCATCATGAATTGTCACCAAATTTCCTCCCTCAATGAAACACGATTGCTCATTCGCTGTCCAACCGTCACCTAAGGATGTAAACATTTAATATTCATCATTGAATATAGCTAAACCTTCTTTCAAGGTGCTGCCAATGCAAAGTTGCCAATCCGGAAAATAATCGAATCCACTTGGGCAATCAACACCTAGAATAACGCAAAAACTAGAAGGTAAAAGCTAAAGGCTAAAAGCTAAAAGCTAAAAGCTAAAAGCTAATAGCTAAAAGCTAAAAGCTTTGAAAAGTTAAAAAGCTCATTCAAAAATCGATTAGCCACAAACCAAATATTCGTCTAATTTTCGTTTTGTAAGTGGATGCCACCTTTTCGTTGTAATTGTGCATTGTTAGTCCTGAAAATGATGTTATTAATGAAGTCAATCGAAATCTGTCTAGTGTCTAGTGTCTAGAAATCAAATATTTCCTCTCGAATCCCACTTACCACTCAAACTTGTTGCCCCTCTTGCAAAAAGCAAATATTTTTCATCTTCTTCTTTATAACTGTAGATTAAATCGTTCTTGAAAGGTAAATTGTTGATTTGTTGGGTGAATTTGCATAGAATTTGTCCATCGGCTTCGGTGAGAATAAAATTCGTCAACAACTTTGACATATCGTCTTGCTAAACGATTAAATAGTAACTATCGAAAATCCTTTTAGCTTTAGCGCTTTAGCCTTTTAGCGGAAATCTTTCTTTACCATTTCTTACTTTACTTTATAACTTTGAACTACAAATAGCACTACCGTCAAGCCATTGATTCGTATATTTTCTGGTCGATTATTATTGTAAGAGATCTTTGGCGTCATCGTTTCTGTGCCGATCATTGAAGAACATTCGGAAACAAATGAACTCCACTAAAGGAAAGTAAAATAAATTACTTCAACTATACATAAATTAAAAATAAACTACATTTTATTTAAAATCAAATACATTGAATCGAAAAATGGGCTTTTATTTTATCAAATCAAACTAGGAATGGTTCAGATTGACATTTGGCTTGTTCCTAGTCCGTTTAGCTCTAACTAGGGACCCTTCCGGACTTACCACCGACTATCAAAACAGGGTCAAGCCTATTTTGTAGTAAATTTTTCAATGATTCCGAAAAGGGATGTCGTTTGTGTGTATTGCGTTCAAATTCTTGAAATAATTTGATTTTAAATTTCTTCGTAAAAGATAATTTATCATTTTTGGGAGACGCTGTCATGAGAGGCGATTTTAGAGCGTTGAAAGACATATTGCTGTGGACAGTAACCTAACGAACAGCAAGTAAACAGTAACCTAACGGACAGTAAGTAAACAGTCACCTAACGCGCCAATCATTGGCCTTGATTCGATTCTGGTCAAAGCACATTTTCTTTTTTCTTTTTTGACTAGTAAAGTAAAACACCTTGATCTTAAGCTTTCGTTTGAAACATTTCATTCAACACTCATCCAAGTGCATTCAAATTACTAGATCAGACATAAACTAGGGGAAAATGATAATCAAAAAACTCTATAATTCTGTCAATTCTGTCAATTCTGTTAAATTCTGTCAAACCCTTTTTGTTTCTAATCAAACTCACCATTTCTGGGTGATCGGCGAACGCTAAAGCAATATAGCTACCGGATTGTTGATAATCTCTCGTGAATAACTCAATATCAAGATAATAGGTTCCGGAAACATTTCGGAACTAAATAAATCTTAAAAAGAAAATTTCATAACTCAAACAGCTAACGAAGTGACACCAAAACAGGTATCCGGATTCTCGTCATAGCAAGGCACAAAACATTGTTTACTTTTTCCGCAAGTGGATTTATCAAAGAGAGCTTGAGACGAGATCTGGAGAAACTGTAGATTTTCATAAATTTAAGACTTACTTGTATTAAATTGAAAAATAAAATGAAAAATAAAGTAAACAGATAAATTCTTTTCATTTTTAAAATAAGCACACCAACGAAACTATTCAAAAATCGGAGAAAACAAAAAAAAATGCTGACAAAATGATAAAATGGGGTGATAACGGGGTAAGCAAAGTAGATCTTTGGTTTGATTCACCAACAGATAAATGTCTATACATTATACATTGGTGTGGTATAGTCTGTAGACTTTGTAGAGTTTTGTTTGTATTCTATATAGTCAAATTTAGGCCGACTAACCCAAGTAAACTCGCAAGAGAACCACATATACTTTGCTTTGCCGATTGCCGATTGCTCCCAAAATTGGTGGGTAGGTAGAATCGACTCTGGGGAACAACATATTAAAAATTCAGCTGCAAAGCTTTCAGATTACGGGAGTTTTAATGTTTTTAAGATTTGGTAAGGCTTTGGCGACAATGGGGTTTCTCTCTTCCGCAACATATGGGGCTAATTAACGCAGTGGAGGAATTGCGCATTGGTGTAGTGGTAGTGCGTTTAGTTGCAAAGCCGAAGCTGTCGAGTTGGAGTTCGTCTTTGAAAAACTTACAGCTTTTTTGGACAAAACTCTTTGAACAACCGTAATCTTGAAGCTTTGCAGCTGAATTTTTAATATGTTGTGCCCCAGAGTCGATTCTACCTACCCACCAATTTTGGGGGCAATCGGCGTTCGTAAGTATATGTGGTTCCCTTGTCAGTCTTGAATGCCGCTTGCTGAACACCCAGAGCCTAAAACCGGAGTTACCGGCATCAAGGAACAGACAGTATTGAAGCAAAGTCTGGTACAGGCGCTGAAAGTTTTGCTTCCTTCTTTCCGAAGCATGCCACTGCACGCAAACTCAAACCAAATTAACGTAAAATCAAATAAGGAAACCAATTTAGAATATTTATATTTAGATTATCAAAGTTGTGGTAGCTTTAAGAGCTAGCTGTGGAGCTAGAACTAGAGTTAACTAGAGCATGCTTTAGAGCAGCCCAAGTCAAATCGGTGTTGGAAAATGTAGTTAAAACAGCGTCATAATAGAAAACGTTTAAAACAATAACACAGTGCCGTCAAATTTCTCACAATCCAAAAAACCAAGCTTCAAGTTTTATACCAAAAATATCCTTGCGTTCTTGACCACATGATAGGTGGAATAGTTTTTTAAAAAGTAAAGATTTCATCGATAAAATTAGCGTTCAAAATGTTCAAAGTGATACTGAATTGGTTGACTGATATTCAGCCAACTAATGCTTGAAGATATTCAGCCAACTTTGACTTGTTTTTTGCTTATCATGCGTGTCGAGTGATACTCAGCTGGTTAACTGAACATCTTTAGAGGCCCAAACTCACATTGATATCCATTCAATTTTTTCGTCACTTTATCACCAATTTCCCCCCGCATAATTTTATTCCATAAGAACCGAAGCGATTAAAATTTGAAAAACAAACATGCAAGTAAAAGAAAGAAAATGATTTCTTCCAAAGTTTGAGTCCAATCGCCTACACGCAAATATTGAAAGGGAATGGCAATTTTTAGAATCTTTTCAATGCTTTTAAAAAAAAATTTTGCTTGCTTTTAAAAATTGAAAATAAACGTTTACTTCGTGAATTAAAAAAATTTGCATACTGTCGCGTTTTTTGCAATGTGCATACAAAAGTGACGCGAAGTTTAATGACATTTTTATGTTCATTATTATCAACTGCCATCAATGAAGCCGTCTGCGAAGGACGTAATGCTTTAAAAAATTTTGTGCTATTTTTATTTTTACGATTTTTTTAGTTGGTTGTTTTTAAACGTGTTCCTTTCTAAAAGATTTCTTATGTTGTTTTTTTCAGCTCGTGTCATCGATACACAAGGCTTTCACCGCAAATCCGCCTTCAAAGGATCAAGGCGTCGGACACTTAAAAGTTACAGTGAGTTCTTTATCATTTACCTTTGTTACCTTTGTTAGGGTACTAGATACTAAGGCAGTTGGGGTGGGGCACTTAAAATTTTCTCAGATGTAGTTTTTCTAGGGTAGTTGATGGCGCTGATCACGAAAAAACATTTTTGAGTTATATTTTCAATCAAAAAACCTAAAGGCGTAAAAAACTTATGTATTGATGTAGCCTTTTTCGTTTTAAAAAACTCTGCATGTCCCTTTAATTCGGTTTTTACTTGTTAAGATTGGTTTAATAAGCCCCGCCGATGAAGACATCGCTTGGGAGCTTGAAGTCGGATCTCATCGCATTATTGACTAGTGGGGTCAATGGACGCGCGACGTGTTCAATCAAAATCAATTTTAAGCACATCCACGAACACTCGGGGGTCCAGGTGTCCACGTTGTGATAGACGAAAGTTGCATATCAAAAAGTAAATACAACCGAGGTCGGCTTCCCAATCGGATGTGGCTTTTTGGCGGAATAGAACGCAGATCGGGTCGTGGATTCATGAAACTTGTTCAACGCCGCAACGCAGCAACTCTTTTGCCCATTATCCCAACTCACGTGCGACCTGATTCCATAATTCACTCAGATCTCTGGAGAGCCTATACCAGCATTTCCCTTATGCCCCAAGCCTAAAGACACATGAATGATCATCAATTGAATTTCGTGAATCCGACGACAATGTTGAATTCCAATGGTATCGCTTCAAAAAGTTCATGCTACGCCACGGAATTAATCTCTGTTTCAATGATAGATACGCTGATTACATGAACGAGTTTCTTTGGCGTCAGGAATTCAAAAAGGACGTTGCCTTTTACCACTTCTGGGATCAAGTGCGTCAGTTGTGAGTAATTCCCTTCTCACAATCTAAACCCCCAACCCAACGGCCCTCTTAAGGGCCACAAATTACCCAATATAACGGCAATAAATAAGTTTTTTTAATTGAAAACATAACTTAAAATTTTCTCAATTATACTCAATTATAGTTTTTCTAGGGTAATTGATGGCGCCGATCACGATAAAAACATTTTTAAGTGCCCCCCAACTGCCGGGCACTACATACCTATATACACTTGTAGATAATAGGAATCGCGATCCGAAATATTGCTAGAAGATATAAAATTGTGTTATTTTTAAGCTAGAGCCAATTTGCCAATGTGTTAAACCTTTGTAACATAAATGTAATAGCTAGCCTGCATTTGATAATACAATGCTTAATAAATTTCGCAGGCGTACGAAGGCTTAAATAGAAACCTTTTCTCCGATAACCTTTTGTCTTTTGTTCTACGCTTCCATTACAATAATCTTTATGCTTTAGGTGGATGTCGGTGTGACGGAGTGTCGTGTCGCAGCAAGTTCCGCGAATGTCAACAACAAACGGGCGCTTGAATTGGTGAGTTGCAAAGTTTTTCTTATCATTGTTGATTAGTTACTTTGGATTAAAGCTATTTTTTAGTCAAACAACGACGAACATTTCGGTCGACGGCTTGAAGCTCTGGAACTTGAGACAAAAGTTAAACAAATCATCGCACAAAATGAGGTGAGTTCTTTGAATTGGTTTAAGCAACGTTACGCGTTAGTATTTTGAAATGTTAGCTTTATAGTCATTCAACTTTTTCATTTCGTTACGATGTTAGCTTACAAGTAATTTAAGCTTTACAAGTAATTACAATTAAAAGTTTACTTTAAGATTTAATTGCAAAACAGATTGTTACACTTTTGCTAGATATTACTTAAATTATTAAGCCTAGAACATACAAATTTTAATCAGATTGTTACATTGGTCCATTGTATTGTTCTATTTCTTAAAGTCTAACTGTGATTTTTAGTTGATCGAGGTACGCAAACAGCAAGTATATGCCGAACATCTCTTCAACGAGCTAGCCAACAAGAGGGAATTGAATAAAAGAACAAAAAGAAGAAACAAAAGAAGAAGGAATTGAAGAAACTCGACAAGAAAGTGCTGCTTTAAAGATAATACCTATGCTTTGAAGGGTACGTATTTTGCTTGTGTTTTTATAATATCATATGTCTTATAAAGGAGAAATTGATTTATCCTAAAATAAAGTTTGAATTTCTGGTTTACTGTTTGACATAAAGAGTTGATTGAGCTAAAATGATAGGCGAATTTCAGCGTTTATTCAGCGGATTCGACGTTTAGCACGTCAAATTCTCGTTGTTCTTTTGATTCTGTAACATTTATTCAAAAGCAATTTTAAAAAATTGCAAATCTCGGAGGCTTGAGATCAAAAGCAGAGAATGACAAAGAGTTGCGTCTCAACTTTGAGTCGAGACAAAGTTTTCGTTAAAATCAGGATTTTCTCGTTGTTTTTTCGCTTGTTTCCGTTGAATTTTCGCGAGCTTTCTTGTCGTTTTCACCATTTTATGCTCAATCATTGAGTAGATCATTGAAATTACAGATTGATGCGGATCGATGTAGGACATTTCGAGGAGGGTTTTTGACTGCAAATGCTTGTTATTGCTATACTTTAACCTCTAAAATTGTTTTTGAATGGCAGAAGTAAAAGAATCTTTAGACTAAAGACATTCGACTAGCGTAAAAACTGTAATGGTCGCAATTTGTACTCGTTTAACTTCTTTACCTTCGTGTTGTCAAATCTTAATTCCGGGCCAACTCTCGGCAAAACCGCCTCAACAATCGGATCGATTCCCAACTTTGCGTAAAGCTTTAATACCCAATTTGGTGCCGTGAAAATTGTGATTGGATAGCCTAAAACATTTTTTTTGGAGATTAAGTTTTCATCGTCACCTTTATTCCTGAACTCTGTGAACAACCACTTAGCAATGTCGGAGAACCAACCGGACTCGGCGTGAATAAGAATTCGTTCTCCATCGGTTGCCTGAATATTTGTAAATTTAAATAATTCTTATAATTCTTAGATTTTCGAATTAACTTACCGAATTTGTCATCGCCAAAATGTGCGCCTTCGCGACATCTCTCACGTCGACGAGACCGAGACAAGCCTTTGGACACGCCAGGAATGTCTTGAGGTGCATGATTCGACCGATTATCTACAATGGAAATAAATTCTCACAAGGGAAAGGCACCGAGTCAAGTTAGCCTTTTAACTCGAGACCAAATCCATTTTAAAGAATCGGCCATGGGATCTCGAATCCGTTCTTAGTTTTCGCAGAACGCGAGATATCTAGTTTTCGGGATATCTAATCTAAAAAGCTATCACATGCTCCCTTGACAACTGCTTCGATGGGCTAGTGGATAGTCTGCTAGACTACCAAACCTATTACCCTTCTTGCCCTCAACTTTGAGTCCCACTCTCGCCAAACTTTTTTCCTTCTTTAAAAAACTGTTTCCCTACGTATTTGCAATGAATAGAGTTGGATTTGGGTTTCAGAGTTGAATAGAATGATTTCAAGAATTCAAGAATAATAGAGTTGAATTTTTAGCCTGTAGCTTTCAGAAATATGGCAAGAAATGTTAAATTTTTCAAAACTTATCTACTGATTCTGATACTTTTGAAGGTTCCAACTTTTGTAAATTGTTTGTTGAATTTCCAGAAAGCTTGTATAAAACTAAAGTCAAGTAAATACAAATACGTAAGGAAACAGTTTTTTAAAAAAGCATAGAATTTTGTCGAGAGTGGGATTCGAACTCGAGGGGAGAAATGGGACAGGTTCGATAATCTAGCAGACTATCCACTAGACCACCGAAGCAGTTGTTTGAGAAGCCACATAAGGAGCTTGAAATTCAAGATGATTTTCTATGCCAAATATCTCAGATATCGTTTGTGAAGCGTTCTGCAAAAACTAAAAACGGATTCGAGATCCCGATGACCGACTTTATAAGATGGATTTGGTCTTGAGTCAAAAGTCAAAGCTTGACTCGATGCTTTTCATTCATATTTCGGAAGCCATTTAAAATATGAGATTACCGTGCAACTTCAAATGCAACTTACCGTGCAACTTCCATTCTCGACATCGGAAAGCACGGGTCCAGTGATGAAAGTCGGATTGAGGACCGTCAATTGGAAACGGGTATCTTCTGAAAATTGAAGTATTCCAATGGTTGGAAAAGAAGAATTTTTCAAATCTTAAAAAAGACTTCAAAAACTCACTATCCAATTTTTCCCAAAATTCCCAAGCCGATCGCTCAGCTAGAGTCTTCGATCTCGCGTAGTATTCGACTTTTGGGCTCTCGAGGTTCGCCCAGCAAGTCTCATCAAAAATTCGCTCGTCATTTCTGTGGCCATCTGGAATTCAATTTTCATTTCGATTTCTAGAAGTTGTCTAGAAGTTGCACTCTGCTAAATCGTTTAACGCTGTGATTCGCCTAGATTCTCCTTTGTAAAGTGCTTTGTGCTTAAAATGTAAACCAAAATGTAACACCCCTTTCTAGCCCACTAAATCCTAGCTTTTTATTGCGAAAACCAAGGTGTTATTGCTAGAAAAATACAAATTCCGTGCACATCAGCAAGTGTGCGTTTCCATTGAGCGTAAAGTATTTTTTTTTATTTGCTTTTTTTTTTTTTTTTTTTTCTTTTTTTTTTTCCCATATAATATAAAAAATAATTATTTAATAAATTTATAAAAATTTTTTTTTTTTCCTCTTTATTTTTTTTATATTTTTTTTTTTTTTTTTTTTTTTTTTTTTTTTTTTTTCCCCAAAAAAAAATAAAGCCAAAAAAAAAGGGAAAGAAAAAGTGGAGGTTTTTTTTTTTTCTTTTCTTTCAATAATTTTTTTTTTTTTTTTTTTTTTTTTTTTTTTTTTATATTTTTTACCTTTTTTTTTTTTAATATTTTTAAAATTCCTTTCCCCTTCCCTCCTTCTCTCTTTTTTTTTTTTTTTACAAAAAAAAATTAAAATTTTAAAATTAAAAATTTTTTTTTTTTAAAAAACCCCCCCCCCCTTTTTAATTTATAACAAAAATTTTTTTTTTTTATAAAATTTTTTTATATAAAAATTTTTTTAGTGTTTCCCTTTTTTTTTTTTTTTATATCCAAATCACCTTTTTGTTATTTTTTTTAAATTTTTAAAAAATTAAAAAAGCAAATAAAAAATGGACAAACAAATACACCCTCAAACAGGCGATCATTTCTAACTTTGAACAAGTTTTGGCCAAGTTTCACTCAAGTTTTACTCAAGTCTCCCTAAATTTTGAAAGCGATCAGGCGGTGATCCCTATTTTTCAACTCAAACTTGGGAATTTTTTTTGCAAAAAACCGAACACAAAGTCTCTCTTTTCCGATTTACCCTTGAAAATAGGTCATAAATATTTTTGAGATCTCTTCAATCATTTCTTTTTATCGAAATCTCCACTCAAATTTCTGTGGTTTGTGCTGGAGAAAAAAGGGTGTGAAAAATAGGTGATGATAGGGTGACAAAAACATCAACAATGATAGGGGAAAAGAGAGAAATTGCGAAATGACGAAAGATTTTCGTCTACCAAGTGGCGTCTGCAAAGGAGAGACTTTTAAGGCTAAACGTCTCTCACTTTTAAGGCTAACGGGTTTTCGTCTAGACGCATCGAAAAGAAAACAAAATTGGTTGTTTTGAAGGGAAAAAGAACGGGTTGTTGATTTCTTCGAAAAAGAGTAAGAGAATCTACTAACCCCAAAAAAAAAACAAAAAATTATAAAAAACAAAAAAAAAAAAAAAAAAAAAAAAAAAAAAAAATAAAAAAAAAAAATAAAAAAATCTAAAAAAAAAAAAAAAAAAAAAAAAAATAAAATAAAAAAAAATCAAAAAAAAAAAAAAAAAAAAAATAAAAAAAAAACAAAAAAAAAATGAGAAAAACAAAAAACAAATAAACCAAGAAAAAAAAAACAAAATCAACCCAAAAAAAAAGCAAAGAAAACAAAAAAAAAAAAAAAACCCAAAAAAAAAAAAAAAGAGAACCCCCCAAAAAAAAAAAAAAAACAAAAAAAAAAAAAAAAAATAACTACCGGTTGACCGCGAATTATAGCGACTCACTTCTAGGGGGTCTAGCTCAGCGAGCAATGAATCCGAATGAAATTTGACGACAGAAAATCGAATTTCTATGTGGTGTTTGATCTTTTGTTGAATCTGTTTGATCTGTTTGCTCTTTTTTGATCTTAAACCTAATCATATTCATTAAATAACTTCAAAAACGGTTCTCAAAAACCTTAAACTGGGTTTCTCGTCAGGTGTACAGCGACTCTCAACTTTGTAAAGTCATATAAAGATTTTGGAAGCACCAATTGGTTAGAAAATGGGCTTGACTACAGGAGAGATACTCAAAAAAACATCTCCAAAAATTTCATACGGATTCATTGAGTTCTCGCTGGCAAGCGAGGTTCGTCAACTTACCACCAGCTTTTAAAATGTTGCTTGGCACATCTGGACCGGTTTTTTTGTTTTTTTTTTTTTTTGTCTTCCTGCCCCTCTGGCTAGATGGTTTTGTTGGCTGTGGTAGCCCCCTTTGGGGGTTAAGCGGGGCCGGTGGTGTGGGGTTGCTTCGTCTTTTTCTTCCTGGTGTGTCTGTTGCTTCTTTTTTGGTTTTTTAAGGTTTTCCTTTTTTTCCTTTGTTTTTTAGGGGGGGTGTTTTCGGGCTGTCTTCCTTGGCCGTGCCTCACGTCGTGTGTGGTTGTGCCTCCTCTTTTTGCTCCCTGGCTTGGTCTTTTGTTTTTCTCTTATTTGTTTTTTTCTTTTTCCTTTTTTTGTTTTGCTTTTGCCGTTCGAACCAGGGATGCAAAAATGTGAGCGTAGCGCACTACCATTAGACTATTCTTCCACTTTTTTCTTTCCCTTAACTTTCCTTCTTAAAGGAGGTGTCTTATTTGCACAAATACCATTTTTTAGCCAACTTTAACACCATTTTTCCTGGCCTCAGAGGGTGTCTGGAGTCGATTTGAGTACAGATTCGGAATCAGCGCGAAAAACTTGGTCTAGATGTGCTAGGCCACGTTTTAAAAGCTGGTGGTAAGTTGACGAACCTCCTTTGTGAGCTAGATCGTTAGAAGTGAGTCTCTATAATGTCAGCCTGTAAACTGAAAGTCTTTAAGCCGTGCCCTATTGCCTGTAAAAGCTGTTTTTTAGGCTTTTAAAGCATGAATCATGCTTTAAAACGAGAACTAGCTGTCTGATGTCATCATTTTCAATAAAGCCTAAGAGATCTTGCCTTTAGACTAAATAATCCCTTTTCAAACCAACCGAACTCATCAATTATGTGTGTTACTTTGTTGTTCGAGAATGGCTTTCTCTTGTTGGCCCTAGGAATTAAGCCCTTTCATGGAATTGAGCCTTGGGCGAGGTTCCAAAAGGTTCTTTGGTTCCAAAGTTGTTCACAAACAAACCATTGATAGCCGAACAGCTGCTCGTCAAAACGACTTTCTTGACGGATCTCGTTCGAGCGGCCGCTTGGAGTACACATTGCGTTCCCTTAACGGCTGTGAGCACGGTCGTTTCATCAGCTACAATTGGCCATGGAGAGGCCACGTGCAGGACATATGTACAGCCATCAACGATGCTAAAGTTGAGACAAAACTTGTTGGAGTTGAAAGACAAAACAAAACTCAATCTGGCTATTGAAAATAAAGGCTTTAACATGGAAAATCATATAAAACTGACTTAAGCACGAAAAAAAATGACTAAATGGCTTAAAACCTACAATTGCTTTAATGCTTTGTTTAAAAATTTGCTTTCTAACTAATTCAAAATACCCTCAATATGTTTTTCCATTTTTTTTCGAACCTATCCCATCCATCTGGTTTCAGCAAATCGGCTTCCACCAACTCGAGCCTCAACGCTGCATTTGGGAGCACTAACAAGGGTCGGATCTGAAATTTTTCTATTTTTTCTTTTCTAAATCAAAAAATTCGATCTACTAGTTGCCTAAAATCATTTATCGTCTCGAAATTTACCTTTTGTTCATTCTTCTTACTCCTCACAGTGCCTCTAACTGAATAACCAGCCTCTAGCAGCTGCTTTACACAGTGCAGCGCCACATAGCCAGATGCGCCAGTTACAAGCACCACTAAAAGCTTTATTTAAAGATTTTTCTTCTGAAAACAATAGTGTTAAATATGGTAGCTGGTCGGTGTTTTGATTTTGAGAAAAACGAAAAAAGGAAAAGCTCTTAAAACACACCAATTTTACTCCGATCCACGAGATCTGCAGTTTCCATTGTGAAATTAGAAATAAAATAATCTAGGATTAAAAGTAAAAGATGAGCAAAAAATGACTGACTGCTTACTATGAAATGGGAAATAAGCTAAAAAGCAAAAACATTTTGAAAAAAACAATCTCTTTAACTAGTAGTAAGTGAAAGAATTATGAGCTCTTTCCTGAACCGTGGTCTTTAAAAGTTCCGTGGTCTTTTAAAAGTTCCGTGGTCTTTTAAAAGTTCCGTGGTCTTTTAAAAGTTCCGTCGTCTTTTAAAAGTTCCGTGGTCTTTTAAGTTCCTTTCGCAATTTTTTGTTTTTTAGTCTTCTTTTTTTAGTTTTTAACTCTTTTGAAATTATTTTAACGTATTTTATTAAATTCCACATGCACCAGTTTATTTGATCAGAACTTAACAATCCTTGGGAAGGCTCTAACAATCCTTGGTCTACTATCGGAAAGCTTGCTTCTTACACTGAGCATGACATTGACTGCATGTGCAAAAGATGTCTTTGGTTCCAATCACCCTTTTTTGTCGAACACTGTTGACTACAATGAGCCGGATGAAGAGGTCGAAATAGATGCGCCACAACCCGTGACGAGACTCTAAAGCGAGACGATCAACAGCCAAGATCGCAACAGCCAAGAAGAAGGCGACGCTGAGGGTTCGACTGAAATGGCAGAGATGTTGACCCTGGAATGGCAGAGATGTTGGACCCTGGAATGGCAGAGATGTTGGCCCCCGGAGGGGCAGAGATTTCCCTGGAATGGCAGAGATGTTGACCCTGGAATGGCAGAGATGTTGGCCCTGGAATGGCAGAGATGTTGACCGCAGAAGCCTGTGATGATTTATGCTTTGTTGAGCTGAGACGACCAGCTAGCCGTCGAAAACAAAAAAGAAATTGCAAAAAAACCACGAAACGGACTTTTTTTGACAAAAGATCACGAAACTTTTTAAGGCCCGTTCCAGGGAAAGAGCCGAATTTTGTAACCACAAACCAGGCACAAAACCAGCTCCAAAAAAGCCGTTAAATAGAAAAGATCGATGGTTTTACAGTATCTAAATCTATAAGAATGAAAAAAAAACTCTCAATATCAGCAAATATTAAAAGTTATTGAAAAGATAAGTCTATGAATCCATCAACAGACTTTCCATGGATCCATCAACAGACTGAAAAGCCATAGATGGGTTGAGCGAATGCAAAATCGAGGGAAAAAGAAAGGAAAAGATCGAAATTTTCTTTTTAAGAAATTTCTCAGCTTTCTTTTTGAAAAGTTGAGAGACTAATGGAAAAAGGAAAGAAAACTGAAAAACATTCAATGAAATAGAGAAGAAATTTCGCACATTTCGCACATTTAAATGCTCAAAGTCACATCATTTTTGTGAGAAAGTTTAGAGAAGAAATTCTGTTTTGAAATTTCATTTAGAGATTTAGATTGCGAGTGCACCCGAACCCGAAACCCGTTGTTTTTATTACCCAACATTGATCTAGAACATTTGTGCTCTTTGTGGGTCCACATAAACGCTTTTCCCCTTGTTCTTTTGTAGTTTGTCCAATATGACCAAATTTCGCACGATTCATGTGTTGGACTTTGAATTAGCAAGGTAGCTTTGAGAATAATTCGAAGTGTGTGTAAAACTGTTTATTTTTAAGCTATTACACTGATTAAAGCTGTATTTTAAATGCTCAAAGTCGCATCATTTTTTGGGAAAAGTTTAGAGAAGAAATTCTGTTTCGAAATGTCATTTAGAGATTTAGATTGCCAGTTGATTGGTTGTTGGTTTTGTTGGTTTTATTAACCAAAATTAATCTAGAACACTGTGCACAAAATGACGCGACTTTGAGCATTTAAATGTGCGAAATGTGAAATGTAAAATTTCTTCTCTATTTCATTGAATGTTTTTCCAGTTTCTCTGTGGGTCCACATAAACGCGTTTCTCTTGTTCTTTTGTAGTTTGTCATTCTTGTTAAACATTTAATATCTTAGAATGGAAAGAAAAGCATGGAAAAGAACGTAGAATGGAAAAAAATAACGAAAAATGAGCGTGCTGTACAAGCGTGCTGTACAAGCGTGCTGTACAAGCGTGCTGTACAAGCGTGCTGTACAAGCGTGCTGTACAAGCGTGCTGTACAAGCGTGCTGTACAAGCGTGCTGGACAAGCACTCAGCCACCGATGAACGGCTTGTTTTGAAAAAGTTGGCTCCAAAGGGAGAAGCCCAAAGCTTTTATGCTAGTTTGGCGGTGTTTACGCGCCATTTGGCAGCTAATTTTTCATCATTGGAATCAGCGTAAAATTCTGCGTCGAATCGTCTATATATCATTGGAAAAGGGATTCAATTAGAGTGTGTTGATCTCGGACAAATAATTATTTGGATAATTTTGAGCAAATAATTCTTTATCCAAATAATTGTTGGATAATGACATTCTAAAATGCACAATCTTTTTGTTTGCTTATTTAAACGTGAACATAATTATTTTACAACCACTTTGGCGTAGGCTAATTTCCGCAATTTTTTTTTGCGCAAAAGGGTCATTTGCGCAACTGGGTCCTTTGCGCAACTCGCCATAACTTTCTTCTAAGTGGGTCAATCTTTATGATTTTGGTTTCATTTTGTAGATCTCAATAAGTGCAACAAAATGACACGAAAATCATAAAGATTGACCCCTTAGAAGAAAGTTATGGCGAGTTCCAAAGGGACCGTTGCGCAAAAAAATTGCGGAAATTAGGCTACCCCCCTTTTCTTTTATTATTTTTGAAAGTTTTACTTCTTTTTTTTCTATCCTTATCGGAATTTTATAGTTTTCAACAAATATTTATTTTTAAAAACAACAAACAAGGGAATTTTTTAGGAAACACATTAAACCTAGCAACACATTAAACGTTACATGCGATTAGATAAGAAAATTTGCATTTATTTGCCGCAATGACGCTTTAGAATTTCATTATCCAGGAGCAACACACTCTAGACCCAATCATCCTTCCCTTGTTAGTTCTTTATCAAACAACATTTATTTTTAGATTAACTCTGCACTACGAGCAACTACGAGCAACAGAAATCAGTAACAATATGTGGAAAAACATCAAGTGGATAACGAGGACAGTTTTTTTTCTGTAAAGTTTCAAACTTTTAAAAAGTTACCGAAGTTAATTGCTTTTTTAAAAAAGAAGAAAGAAACGTAATTGCTAAAAAGGAAAAGTCAAAAGAAATTGAACTCGGACGTTTAAGACAAGATTTGGCGCAAATTTGGCGCAAGGTGGAAAAATTGGCGCAACTTGGGACAATTTGGCTCAAATTTGGCGCAAAGTGGCAACCTCCATAAATTTGAACGAAGCTTTTCGAATAAAAATTTGCATTTGAAATTTTGAATGTAGAATTTGTCTACGGTGGCTCTTTTTGAGCATTTTAGGAAACCCATTAAGCGTAGCAACACATGAAACGCAGGAATGCATTCAACTGACCTCGAACCGACAAATAACTTTCAATTTTCAGAGAGCTTTAGTATCAGAAAGCAATTTAGCAATGACTTTCTTCTTTCAGACAAATTTGTGCAAAACTTTTCTAACAATAAACTAATAACATTTGGGAAAATGTCGTTGAAAAGAAAAGAAAAGAAAAGAAAAACCCAAATAAACACAAAAACTTGATTCATAATCAAAAAAGGAACCGAGGGAACAGGTTTGAGCAAAGCTCGCACGTTTCAAATCAAATCAACAACATTTTGCCGAAGGGATTTGTGGAGAGTGTGGAGAATTTTTAAAGAAATATTTTAAACTTCAAGTTGACTAAGTTACTTAGTTACTAACTAACTGACTAACTGACTAAGTTACTTGGTTACTAAGTAACTGACTAAGTTACTTAGTTACTAATTAACTGGCTAAGTTACTTAGTTACTAACTAACTGACTAATTGACTAAGTTACTTAGTTACTAATTAACTGACTAAGTTACTTAGTTACTAACTAACTGACTAAGTTACTTAGTTACTAATTAACTGACTAACTGACTAAGTTACTTAGTTACTAACTAACTGACTAACTGACTAAGTTACTTGGTTACTAAGTAACTGACTAAGTTACTTAGTTACTAATTAACTGACTAAGTTACTTAGTTACTAACTAACTGACTAAGTTACTAAGTAATTCTGAAACGAAAAGCGAAACGGATGTGTTCTCAAAAACTTTCTCTCAAACAAAAAACCCTCGCACTTGACCAGAATCTCTGCTCAAAAAGAAGTGAGATTTGGGCGAATTACCCAAAAACACTTCACACGAGATTTGCTATTCAAAAAGAAACACTTTTTTTTGGGGGATTGAGGATCGTACTTTTAAAATCTCTCTTTTCTCTCGGTTTGGGAAAGATTTTTGGGACTATTTTGATCGTTTGCTTGCAAAATAACAAACTCGTAAATGTTTTATTGATACAAATAAAGTTAGTTTGATTGATTTTTGATGTTTTTGGTTGATTAGAAAAAGAAAAAACAAGACAGACACTACAAATGTAAACTACAAACGCAAACGCTTTTAACTTGCTTCAAATCTGCCTGATTCACATGAGCTATAGCTCAAAAAATAGAGAAACTCAAGAGCTTTCGAATGGACTAAAGGATAGCAAAAATATGAATGCTAAAGGAAGTTACACTAAAGTTTTGAGGAGAAGATTATCCAGTACGAAAAGCACAACTGATTGCAGCTAGCCAGCTTCAGATTCTTGTCGAAATGGAACTTGTTTATTTGATAAAGTACAGAGTGGTCTAAAATCAATGCTCCATCTACGATGTGCTCAATTTTTTGCCACTCAAATGCTGTCATGAATGTAAAAAGCTTATCCTGTTAAAAAGCTTATCCTGTTAAATCTAGTAATCTACGATGTGCTCGACTTTTTGCCACTGTGGCTCAAAGCCTGACTCGATCGCTTCGACTACGTGCGAGTACGGTCCGTTTCGAGCCGTCTACCAATGCCTAATGCCAATGCCTAGCCTGCACTAAACCCAGAAGCGTTTTAGCTTAACTGAAATTAGTTCA